CACCAACAAATATATTTTTGTTAAATGTTGGATTGCAGCTTTTACACTGTTTTACACTTTTGTGATAATTTGATGTGTGTGCTGAACTTCACAAAAAAAAAACTTTGCTGTTTTTCCATTTTTGCTCTGCTTTAAAGTAGAATGATGGCATATTAATAATCATTAATAATAATACTAATCATCAATGTCTTTTTCCTCCCTTTGTTTTTTTGTTCTTGGTTCTCCCCGTTACTTGGCTAAATGCAGAGGCCTATATAAATACCACTTAAGGCACATGTCTTCAGTGATAACCCACATTATGCTCAGTAATTGTGAGCTGTGGCAGTGATGAGTGTGATGATAATGGTGATTGATAGTTGTTGTTGTTGCAATTACACATTATTCCCTTACTGCTATCCATATTGGTACACACTTTACTTTAACCCATCTTATTTAGCATTTAGAAGCACTCTATATAAACAACTGATACATTCTTTATAACATACTATAATATAGTTGGATGCAAGCATAAGGACACTTTTAAATGTGCAGTATTTGTCAAAAAGACTTTTCATGAAGTAATATTTTACATTACTATCCCTGCGCTTGACTATATTGTCATCCATTTTCTGTTTTACAGCAGCTTTCACTTGTGGATGCCCACAGGGGGAGTTATAATTGCTGACAAATACATTCATAAACACATCTGCTTACAACTGCATTATAGTGCATACAACATAAACCTAAATAAATCATTAAAATCGTATGATAGTACAGCTATATGACTACTGAAGTGGCTCAGGCTTTTTACCCTTTGCACATTGTTTCATCTCAGTTGACCATAAAACTATTTTTAAAAAATGACAGCACTAGTATAGTATATATAGTGGAGTAGCATATGGAGAACTGATTCCTGATTTTTTTTAAAGATTATAAAGTAATTCCAGTAGTTGGATTTCCTCTTCATTACATAACACACACGTTTGGGTGCATCAAAGACAGTTATTGTACATTATATTGGATAACACAAAATAGCCTGTATGGCGATAGTATCATTAGCATGGGTGGCATGTCCTAATAACATTGTATCCTGAGTCTTGATTCTCATTACAGACCAGCTAAAAAATCAGAACAAAACAAACAGTATACAGCATGTTTGTAAAATAGGAGCAAAGGGCACCAGAGGACACATCAAGGTCACACACAATCAGCCGTAATGAGTTATAAAGCCTCAGCCTCTGCAATGGTCTACAGTCTGTCACTGTGCTTTGTATCAACGGATGTCAGGCTGAGTGCCAGACTTTCGCTTTATACTGAGCCAAAGAGAGAGCCGGCTTAATCACACTACCTGGAAACAAAATAACACAGCAACAACGCGGGAAAAGCTCTTCTTGTTCTAAATTATTCTGAATCTCCACAGGAGGCAGGAGAGGGGTGAGCACTTCAGATGACTGGATGGCCTTTGAAGACCCCAGTCAGTCAGCCTCCACCCTCCTTAAGTGTCCTTGAATTCTTCACCAGCTCCAGGAGAGCTAAACCTGTGCTTTCACCTCACTGCGTATAAAGACAACTTCTGTATCAGTTTTTTTTTTTACATTACTTCTTCTAACTAAGCTTCAGGTGATTCAATTAAAATTATATTTGCATAGCGCCAATTCATAACAAAAGGTATTTCACGACACTTAGACCGTCTAGACCGTACTCCATTCAAAATTTATGTATGCAACCGTAAAACTCAAGAACCAAACATTAAGACAGTCATGGACTCTGCAGAAAGGTTCATGCACAGCATGCGTTTTATATTCACAGACCTGTTTGGCCAGTAGTCCCATCATCTGCACAACACACATGCTACCTCTTATTTTCCTCCCAAATTTCATTTTTGCTGTTTGGAACAACACCAACATAATTTGTCTTGAAAATAGCTAACACAATAGTGTGTACAAGAAAATATAATTTCCTACTGTATGTTCTATTAATCTGTGCACTTTGAAGTCTCTGATGTGTGGGAGAAGGGATAACAACATGATCAGATAAAAAAACATCACTGCATTTTCCGGCTTCTATCATCCTTTTCTTTCTTCCCGTGTCTGTGATTTTTAATGCAATGGGCTGAACCACATCCATACATATTTAAGATATTTTTCAATTAATGTCTAAATCAAACAACTATTGTTTTGTTCCGAACAGAACACAAATGCTCGAGATGATGACTGACACAAATATTTTTAGTGGTGTGTCAATCGAAGGAAACAGTGTTTTGTAATCTTGCTCACACGTCTTTCTTTTCTCAAATATTCCACCCAAAGAGACAATCACTGTGACTAGAAAACCAGGACTGCTTAATTGATTTCACTTTAACTGGCTCTGGCAGATTCAAGAAACTAATTCATACCTCGGTGAAAAATATACTTTTCTGTTCTTTTTCTTTCTGTATTGTACATTTCCCCTTGTTATTGCCACTCTTTCAGCCTAATTGATAATGACATTGCTAAAAGCTACAAGCTTTTCTTATCTTAGCTCAGAACAAAATTGTCAAGATAAAACGCTATTTGCTATAAAGCAGCAGAAAGGCAGAATGACTTCTTGCGCTTGATACATTTCTCCACCTGAGTTTGTTCCACTCTTCAAATGTGTTGTGTGAGTCATATTTTGCTTTAAACTTCCAATTAATTAGATCACCTGCACGCTTTGTTGTCACACTTTCTGTTCGTATCCTGTTGTGTATTTTGCTGAGGTTTAAAAGAGTTCCTAGATCAAGAGGCCCTTTTCTGCTTGTTTTCACTTTAATACGCACACAGCTTTTTAGCAAAGTTTATTAATCAGGCCACAGTCTGGCACCCTACATATGAAGAGAGGGTAGTTTGTCAAATGTGGATCTAAAAGCACAGCATGCGCGCCTCTTGCTGACAGGCTCTGCACTCTGTCATGCTGCCTCTTCTCCATTTCCTGCACTGCAACTGACCTCAGGTCAGACATAGAGCCAAGCAAGCAGCAATCACAGAGCTTTAGTTTCCACTCTCGGGGCTAAATGCAGCGTAATCCCAGGCATCACAACATTAAACATGGATCGTTGCACTATAGCAGATGAAGAAAGCGAAGCAGACAGAAAAGACAGGGAAGGTTAATATGAATAGATGGCATGTTGAGAGGGATGCTGGTGTGTGCCAAAATGAAACACTGGATTTATACATCATAAAGGAGCCGAGTGAAAGCCCTCGCACTACAGTGAAGGAGATACTGTAGTACCATGACTATACATGGGTCATGGGACTGAGACAGCCTGAGATTGCAGTTTCACTGTAACGTTAGAGCCTTTCAGTCTGTATTGAACTCTTGTGAAGCCTTTACTTTCCCAGCAGACATGTACTGCAGCTGTGTGAGTGCTGTTTCTGAACTAGAGTGGAAGTTGTGAGGAGGTGTAGCTGCTCTGCCTGCGTGTCTATAAAAGTGCCCTGATTAGGAATTGTTCACAAAAGAGATGCACTGCTCATTCTACAGCTGAAGATAACAAAATTGTTCATCAGAGAGCAGGACTACAACATAATCTAGCCTCAAACCTTTCCGCCTCACAAGCCTTTATGCCCAGAGAGCAGGTTCTGACCTTGCCAATGTGAGGCAGGTTGAGCTTTGATGCAACTAAACATGAAGTTGGCAACAAAAAAACAAAGGAAAAACAGCTCCTATTGCATCACAATGTTTACATCATAAGCCTTAAACATCCCACCCTTTTTTCCAAACCACTCTGTGACCGGATCAATGTCCAGGTACGGAGAAAAGCAGGAAAGAGAAAGAAAAACAGCCATGAGGCAAAAGTGAGAGGGAACCTGGGATTCAGGATGTGTACGGACGGGTAAATACAGGCTGAGTGTATCAACAGAAATGTTTGTAGAGGGAAAAGCAGAGGATGGGAGGGGGGAGCAAAAAAAAAAAAAAAGAGAGGCACAGTGGAAAATACTGTCTTTCGGAAACACAGGGCTGCGTGCAAACACCCACCAACACATGCATGAACACACACAAAGACACAAAGGGATAAACCCCGGGATACTCACATCTTGGGCTAAACAGGGTCATATCAGGGATGCCAAACACCCGGGAGAACGAGAGAACAGAGCCTAGACGACGGTTTCTTTGCTTCTCTCTTGCAAACTCACTCTTTCTCACGTCCTCGCTCTTGCTGTGTGTTTGTGTCGGTGTGTGTGTGTCTGAGCGAGAGAGTGCGTATTCAGGCTGCCGTTTGGCTGGCTGCTGTGATACTACTGAGTCAGTAACAAACCAGCTAGACGAGCACCAATGGGATGTACCAACTGTTTGCGTTCGGCGGGGGTGGACAGGGGCGCAGTGGGCTGTTCCATTAGCAGAAGAACTGGCAGGAGGATTGGATGAGTGTGCAGCTGGTTTCCCCTCAGCAACAGGAGCTTGGCTGGAGCTTAGGGCTTACAAATTCCAGCCAGGCAAAGAAGAAACTGCTGGAGGGTGTGCAAATGTGTGTGTGTGTGTCTTAATACTTATGTCAAAGAGCAGGAACCTGAAGAAACAGCTGTTCACTTGCTTTACTTTACACTTACTTTCTAACAGACTAAACCCTCACACAAACAGACTAAAAGATGTGCACACTTACAGGAGGATGCAGAGGAGACCTGATGTGTTTTACGAGCATCATTTATGTGTTTGTTTATCTTAAAGAGAGGCATTTTAGGAATAATATACACGCTGTGGACATGAACACACACTCACACACACACACACTGAAGAAAGAAGCACACACAGTGCCCAGTGTGATTATGTCAAACAGGAGGGATTAACAATGAGTACAACATTTGCTGTCTCACTATATTTGATGAACTAATAAGCAAAAGTTGGAAATTCTCAGACAAATATTGACTTAATCTCTACACTAAACCTGAACCATATTGAATAGGTGAGCTATATGCAAACAGAAACTGAGGCTTTTAATAAATCGCCAGTAGTATAATTATTATTAAATATCACAACATTATTTCCATCACTGAGATTTTGATTAAAATTGATGCCACAACTGAAAACACAGAATCACTTTTTACATACTGCAAACTGTGCATGCCGTCTATTCGTTGTTCCATTTTTGTTGTGCGGTAGCTGGAGAGAGAATACACCTGAGGGTGTTTAATCTTTCTGGCTCCTGAGGAGAGGCTTTCATGTGGGTTTAATTAGCTCCTTTAACAACCAACACAGGGTAGACTGGCTGTAAGCCAAACTTTAATCTTAGTCAACTCTAAAATGATTATTACGTCTTTTCACACTACACTTAACCCAGGCACAGTTGCATTATTAAACTGTTAACCCTTGGATAACTGTGCTCTCAGTATTGTGACAATGAGCTAAATTAGCCCTGGGCTATCAGTCTGTAAGGCATTATAGCAATTAGAATCATGTGAAGAGAAGAGTGTCTGTTTTATTATAAAATATAAAGAATATTGTAATTTTAATGTTGATGGGTCAAATTACATTCAGCAGTTGTTTTTTTGTATGTTTCTATATAAACTGCGAGTCAATATCAAAATATTTTAACCCAGATTAAAAAATCCATAAAGCCATATTAGCATACAGTAATGAAAACATGGCATGTTTGTATCAAAAGATAATTTACTGCATGGGTATTCCCTTACACACACAGGTTGTAACTAAGCTTCCGAGTGCCTGCGTGGGTGCAGCCTTCTCAGCTTAGATGTATTTGGTCAGCATTGCTCTTTGATATAATATTTAATGCCTGGAACAAGAAAATGAGGATAAAATGATATTAGGCTTTTCTTATGAGCAGTCACTGAACGAGGGTGAACATTTGTGGTAATATGTATATTGCGTAAATTAATTGATTTAATTCATTAATTCTAAAGTAATTTTATTTAATATTTACAACACATACCTGACCGAAATGCATCAGTAATATTGGTGAAAATTGCCAGCAAAAAGCAATTACGTTGAAGTAGCTGAACAAAAACTATACTATAACTATAACTATATCCATCTATATTTAAAAAGGTATCCATATGCTGAATATAAATCCATAACCTTTGATGGTATATAATCTGCAGTACAAGAAATGCTGAAGATGCCAGGCAGTTGTGTCACAACAGCCCATCATTGATGTATTATGAGAGCTTGATACAAGTAACAAGATGATGCCCCATTCATTTCAATTAAAGTTGATCACACAGTGTATATCACTGATTTATAAAGTGAGCTGGATGTAGTATGCTACTATAAATAGAGTTGTTATAGAATATATCTGTAAACATGTTGACAGGACAGCTTGAATGACTAGTGACCTACTAGTTTTTGTTTTGTGAATTTTAAAGCGTTAATATTTGTAAAACTAAATTCAGAGCTGGATAAAAGCTGCTTTGTGCATGGTGTCATTTCAGTGTACAGTAACAGTGCAAACACATGCACAGCAGTGGACAATGTGGAAGCCTAACAGGAAGAAAAACACCTTTTTAGGACATGCACTAGGTAAAACAATTAGGCCTACTTTAAAGTAATGTGACATTTTTGCCATACCACAACCAGTTTTTCACTGTTTGAATATCTGACTGAGGCTTATAATCAGGAATATGTACAGACAGTTCTCTGTATCTGTGCAACACACACCAAACACAAATGTACTCACTATTTATAACTTTCTAGACTGTGGTGTGTGACTCTCCAGACTCGGTGCATTTGGGTTCACTGTCAGCTACCAGAGGAATTAAAAAGAGAAATAGCAAAGAGGCAAGGGAGGTGAGAGAGGAACAGTGGGGAGAGAAAGAGGTAGTGGAGCAGAACCCGGCTTGATGCAGCCCAGCTGACTCACCTAAGCAGAGAGGACTGAGGGGGAGGGCAGAAGCAAAGAGAGAAAGAGAGAGAGAAAATTAGCCTGCAGGCTGAGGAAATGGCTGGAATAAGTTTAAAAGTAGAAGGAACAGAACAAACATGGATACAATACAACAGAGGGAAATAATAAGGAAAAATGAAAGAGCTCTGAGTGCAGAAGAAAAAACAACTGGACAAACTAGAGCTGATAAAACAAACAAAATTAAGGTTGCAGATACTTAGATAGATAGAAAATGATTTGTGTTCTGTTACTTCACAGCTGATAAATTATTGATAAATGTAGCTACTTCTTGTAAAAAACTCCTCAAGTGTATAGAAAATACTAACCTGTGCATTTATGTTGAAACTAGCAGAAAGCACCTTGTTTCAGCTGACGTACTCAAGCTTAGCCAACTGACAAACTGACCACATAGCAAAGCATATAGGCTGTGGGCTATATACTGTTGATTAACTCTCACAAGGAGGCAAGCAGGCATGCTGAGGTTCAACAGTCAGCTCATATTGACTGGAAACAACCACAACAACTATAACAACAAAATAAAAAAGTGATTATTTTTTTCTGCATGGAGAAGGGGTTGCATTTTTGTTGGTTGTGTGACTGATCTTGAGAAGTGAGTGCTAGACTGATATCTAAGATCCTTGCGCCCTTGCTCTCAATCATAGTGAAACTACTAACTGCTGCTGCATTCAGAAGCAGAGTAATTTAAAGCTACCTCACAGCTGAATTCTCATAAAGATTGAAATGCAAATCAGTTGAAGAGAGAACCTGAAAATAAGATATCAAAAGTGTAGAGCTCTGTATGAGCCTCTTACACCTACACTTCATAGTACATGGATATTTTTAGAAAATAAATCTTATTTAATACTGTTTTTCAAGTTTACATCCACTTGGAAAAAACAAGAAAAAACAACAACAAATTGCTATAATATCAAAATAGTACTGGAGCTCACTCTGCTATCTGGATTGAAAAAGAGAGTTCTTGTTGTTTCCTCATGAGCTATAGTTACTATTAACCATGCTGCTTTTTTGAAGGTTTGACTCCTGAATATGTATTTTTGCTTAAGAGGAAATGTACTTTTGTTTTTCCAATATATTGTCTTTTAGTTGTTCTTTGAACTTTGCAATCAGCTGTAGCTGACTTGACCTCAGGAACGCTCCTGGCTGTGCCTTATTAATGAAAAAACACACGACCAAACCAATGATATTTTTACACACCACAATGAACTGTGGGTTATTAATATATTTGCAATGACTGAACAGGAATCTCTGCACAATTATAAAACAACTTAAATCGCAGCATTTTGCCCTTGAAATACAATAGGTATAACAGCATTAATAACATCAAACAAAATAAAATTGCAGACTTAGTTTAGTTTGGTTTTCTTTCTCCCTCTACCAATATCATCATCATTATTATTAGTTTCTGGGATTGCTGACCACCTGCAAGTTTTCAAATGAAACACATCTTTCAGTCACCGGCTTTTCTGATATGTACTTTTTCAGTTTCCATTGTTCCATTTTGGTTTTAATTCTGACCAAAGCTGCATTTGTTTTATACACATTCACACACATTTTCAAAACGCATAAAACATATGTCGTTATCGGGTCATATACTAAATAACATTTACATGTGAGAGGTGTGTGTTTCAGTAATGCGACTCTGTCTATTAGAAATGCTTACCGACTAATTAACAACAGCAATTACATTGGGGGGAAACATGCATTAATGCTGTCTAAATTGTTTTGTTTTGTTTTTATCAACATGAAACATTTTTAATGAGCGTATCTGCAAAGTCCCAAAAGTGAATGTGCAAAATGTTCATGAACACTGATTAACATTTTTATGGTTATGTTTTGGCACTTACAGCACAGCAGGTAAGGAAAGGAACCCAGGGGAGGCAGTTTTACAAGCTCAGGCAACACTTTGACATGGGGATATTGTAGGGCAGGAACAGCATGGGCATGGGGGATTTGGGCTGAGCATAGCACAGCCTTCATGGGGTAAAGCAACAGCAGTTGGTAGGAGGAAGCTGGTTGCAAGGGAGATTCGGAGGCAGGAAGAGGCTGCCAGAAGTGCAAAAGTAGTCAGGGTCAGTGGATAAAAAAGAACAAAACTGGAGAGAAGTGTGGGATGGAGGCAGGCAGGATTAGATTCTTGCTAGGAGCAATTTAAGATGTTTCCATCTCTCCAAAATCTCAATAAATGGAAAGGCGAGGACCCAACATGCTCTTTATGTTCAGGTATAGCTTCCCTTCAGCACATTTTATCAGGAAGTAAAACAAGCCTGTCTTAAAGGTGATAGATCTGGAGACCACTAAGAGGAAGCACTTCCTGGGTGCAGAAGGAAAACAAGATGGAATCTGAAACCAAAAGGGATACATTTATATTCATGATGACA